CTTAACTAGTAGCTGTACATTTCCAAGAGCAATGCAACCCTGATTGGTGCTAGCCAACCCTGGAGGTTTCAGGGTTGTAAGTTCCAGAACACTAAGAAATCAGGGAAGTCAAAATTCCAACACTAGGCCCTCAGGGTAAATTTTTTTCCACATTCGACAGCTCAGGGTGCTTTTTTTTTAAACGTCAGCCCTGATCAGGAAGCCTCAAAACCAATCTAGGGCCCTGGTCCCCACCATGCTCATTGAGTGAAGCGTCCTGCTCGAGCTGTGTGGGGTCTGTATATCAGAATTGGAATTGAATAATGATAAAGTGAGAGTACACACAAATATACCTAAGTGTTGTACCCTCTAAGAGGTAACCCTATACAGTCTATACAAACATGACAAATACAGATGTTTGACACACCCCCTAGACTGCATAGGGGAATACCCTAAACAAGCAGCTCAGGGCGGCACTACTAGTCCAACCTCTGAGACAAGGGTCTGAGAGACCAGTCAGAAGGAGTACAGACAAGACAAGAACAAGACCAGGGCGGCACTACTAGTCCAGCCACTGGGAGAGGACACAAGTCCAGTCTGAGTATACATATAAAGGACAGTACAAGTCAAGGTCCTAGCAAGTGAGAAGCGACAGGAACTAGACCAAGCTGTACACAGTGCCGCTGATGATCTTTAGGCGCAAGCGCCTTCGTAAAGATATCAGCTGTGTTTGCACCTGAGGCCAAGTGTACTACGCGAGCCTGACGTCGCTGTTGTAGCTCTCGCAGGAGGAAGTACCGCAGCTGAATGTGCTTCGCTCTGCCCTCGAGTCGAGGCTCCTGACACAGGAGGATCATGGCCCTGTTGTCAGCGAACAGGACCGGGGCAGAGCTAGGCCGCTCACCTAAGTCAGTGAGCAAGAAGGTCAACCAGCGGAGCTCCTGTGCCGCCATGGCACCAGCGTAGATCTCAGCCTCACAGCTGGACTGCGCAACAGACGAGGAGCGAGTAGCTCTCCACGAGACGGCACCTGAGCCAAGGCTGAAGCAGTAGCCCTGGGTAGACCTGAGTGTCTCAGCGTCGTCAGCCCACGAAGCGTCTGTGTGTCCAGTAAGGACCACTGGCCTGCGTCCTCCAAGCACTAACCCCATGCCCGATGTACTAGCAAGATAACGCAGAACCCTCTTAACGGCAGACCAGTGCTGCGGTCGGTGTCTGCCTGTGGCCACAAAGCGCGCCAGGATGCTGAGAGGGTATGCGAGATCTGGGCGAGTGCAAGTCATCAGGTACATGAGGCAACCCACCAGCTCTGCGTAGGGGCCGCTGGGCTCTACCAACTCCTCAGGTACTGGAGCGGAGAGTCTGTGGTCTACAGGCAGAGGGGTGGGCTGTGCAGAGGAGAACTGAAGGCTGAACCTCTGAAGGACCTGGCGCACCAAGTGTGACTGAGTCAGGGTGATGGTGCGCGCAGCTCTGTCCCTGGAGATCTGCAAGCCAAGGTAACGGCGCAGTTCTCCAAGGTCAGTGCAGGTGTGTCTCTTCAGCAGCTCTGCCTTCACGGAGGCCAGTGCGTCCCTGTCTGCCGTGGCAAAGACCAGGTCGTCGACGTAAACAATGATGTAGAACGGAGTCTGGCCAGCACGAACGAAGAGTGAAGGGTCTGCGGAAGACGGAAAGAACTGCAGGTCAGCAAGGGTAGCACGGAGAGTGTCGTGCCACTCACGGGGAGCCTGGCGCAGGCCGTAGACGGGGCGCCGCAGGAGCCACTGGGTCCCAGGAGGGAAGGTGCCAGTAAAGCCCGGAGGGCGACGCAGGTAGACCTGCTCGTGTAGGCTGCCCTGCAGGAAGGCAGTGGAGAAGTCAAGGGAGTGAAGCTCGTAGTCACGCTGAGCAGCTAGGTGTAACAGAACCCGAAGAGTAGTCATCTTCGGGGTCGGAGCGAAAGTCTGGAAGAAGTCCACCCCCTCGCGCTGACTGAAGCCTCTAGCCACATAGCGCGCCTTGAAGACAGGCGGCTCTCCAGGAGGGCGCTTCACCTTGAAGAGCCAGCGGCCATCGACTACGTTCACCCCAGGTGGGGGAACTGCGTCGACGAAGGTGCCGGTGGATCTCCAAGATGCCATCTCCTGCTCCATGGCAGCTATCCACTGCGAGGCCCAGGGTCCCGAAGTCGCCTCAGCGTAAGTGCGAGGGGTCGGGATGTCGAAAGCGTCTGGGTCACCCTCAGGGACTAGCAGCATGGAACAGAGATGGGGAGCAGCCTCGGAGAGGAAAGCAAGCTCGAACTGGCGGTCCTCCAGGACGTCACTGCCAAGGGCAGGAGCACCCCCGACAGACGGAGGACAGGCAGGGTCAGAGACCAGAGCGGTGGCGTAGTCAAGGCGGCGGGTAGAGGCGAAGTCAGCGACAGCAGCGACAAGAGCGTCAAGGCACGAGACCGGAACAGACGGGTCGGTAACGAGAGAGGCAAGGACCCGAGGAACAAGAGGACGAGCGGCACGAAGGTAGTCGGACAGCGGGGGGGGCGCAACAACAAGGGAGGACGGAGGAGGCGACGGCAGAAGGGGAGGGCGAGACGCGTGGGAACGAAGCAACATAGGGTGGGAGCGCAAGACAGGCGAGGCAGGACGAGCACGGGAGGGGCGGTGAGACCAGACGTGCGACGGAGGAGTCGGGTCAGGAGACAGGGGAGGGGACACAGGAGGGGAACGAGGGGGGAGACGAGCCGGGGACGAGTCCGGCGGAGGAAAAACAGGGCCGTAGACAGGAAGAGGAGGAGACGGTCGGGGAGGAACCGACGCAGGGTCAGGGGACGGAAGGCCGAGCAGGCGAAGGGCGGACACCGGCGGGGACTGCTGCTGCGGCGGCACAACGGCGACACCTGGACCGGAAGCGGCTCCTCGGCTACCACCGGAACGCTCCACACCAGCACCCCCAGAGGGACCACCCCCAGGGCGACCAGGACGAGCACCCCCAGAGTCAGCGAACGGGGGCTGCGACGGCGGCGGCGGCGGAGGCGACGGCGGCGGCGGCGGCGGCGGCGACGACGACGGCCGCAGCAGCGGTAGTGGCGGTGGAGGAGGGGACTGGGGAGGGGACACCTGGGGAGGGGCGGCCGGCGAGGACTGCACAGGAGGGCCACCAGAGTCAGAGGACTCCTCAACCGGGTCCACGGACGGAAGGGGGGTGACGTGGGACACACCAGAGGGGGGCGGGACGGGGAGGAGGAGGAGGAGGGGCAGGGACTACCGGGGAAGGGGTGACCAGGAACAGGGGGGGGTAACCGGGGGACCACGGTGGGGAAAGCGGCGGTAGTAGGAGACGGACTCGGAAGGTGACGTCACGAGAGTGAAAGAAGCGGTGAGACGTCGGGTGGTAAAAGTGCCAGTCGGACGCGTCAAGGGGAAAACCGAGGAAGACGCAGGGAAGGGTGCGGGCAGTGAGCTTGTCTGTGCCGGAGGCACGGACGTGAGCAAGGCAGCCCCAGACGTGGAACGCAGACGCGTCACCAGGAGACCCAGTCCAAAGACGGGTCGGCGAAACCTGCGGCTGCTGAGGGTGCGGCCACAGGTTAAGCTGGTGAGAAGCGTAGCGCACAGCGAACGGCCACAGAAAATGGGGTGCACTGGCATGGATCATGGAGGTGCGAGCGACCTCCATGACCAAACCGATGCATCGCTCAGCGACCCCAGGCGGCTGCGACGGGGCCAGGCGGCTGCGACGGGGCCGGGCAGGCGCGACGGGGCCGGGCGGGTGCAACGGCACCGGGCGGGCGCGACGGGGCCGGGCGGCTGCGACGGCGCCGGGCGGGCGCGACGGGGCCGGGCGGCTGCGACGGCGCCGGGCGGGCGCGACGGGGCCGGGCGGCTGCGACAGGGTCGGGCAGGGTGCGACGGGGCCCAGGAGGGGCGCTGCAGGGCCCAGGGAGGGCGCGACGGGGCCCAGGAGGGGCGCGACAGAGCCCAGGAGGGGCGCTAGGGGGCCGGGGAGGAGCACGACGGGGCCTGGGAGGGGCGCGACGGGGCCTGGGAGGGGCGTTACAGGGCCCAGGAGGGGCGCTACGAAGCCCAGGAGGGGCGCGACGAGGCCCAGGAGGGGCGCTACGGGGCCCAAGAGGGGCGCGACGGGGCGCTACGGGGCCTGGGAGGAGCGCGACGGGGCCCAGGAGGGGCGCTTGGGGGCCTGGGAGGGGCGCGACGGGGCCTGGGAGGGGCGCGACGGGGCCTGGGAGGGGCGTTACAGGGCCCAGGAGGGGCGCTACGAAGCCCAGGAGGGGCGCGACGAGGCCCAGGAGGGGCGCTACGGGGCCCAGGAGGGGCGCGACGGGGCGCTACGGGGCCTGGGAGGAGCGCGACGGGGCCCAGGAGGGGCGCTAGGGGGCCTGGGAGGAGCGCGACGGGGCCTGGGAGGGGCGCGACGGGGCCTGGGAGGGGCGTTACAGGGCCCAGGAGGGGCGCTACGAAGCCCAGGAGGGGCGCGACGAGACCCAGGAGGGGCGCTACGGGGCCCAGGAGGGGCGCTACGGGGCGCTACGGGGCCTGGGAGGAGTGCGACGGGGCCCAGGAGGGGCGCTAGGGGGCATGAGCGGAAGCGGTAGGTGGGGGGGATCCTACCTACGCGTGATACCATAACAGAAAATTGAATGATAGTGATAGAGGGAGAGTACACACAATATAGCTAAGTGTTGTACCCTCTAAGAGGTAACCCTATACAGTCTATACAAACATGACAAATACAGATGTTTGACACTAGTACCATGCAGCCGAAAACTCGACGTAATTTTGTGCTGCCCCTTTTTCGTGTCCACAGCAGGTGCGGTGATGCGTTGTTGGGAAGTGATGACGAGGACAGCAAATTGTGCAGGTGGACTACATGCGTCATCGCGTCTGGCCACAGTGTGCTAGGCAGTCTCATCCCCAGGAGCAGCTTTCGCATCGTCGTCTGCAAGGTGCGGTTCATCCTCTCTGCGACCAAGTCTTCGAGGTGTTTCCAACATACTCTCTAGGAGCATGAACCATTCTAGCCTATAACTGATACATATACAAATATGTATAAGTTGACACCTCCAACAACAAGCTCGGTAGACGGTTCAGTACACACCACCTTCAATTTACACCTGCCATAAAGTCTCTCCATCTAGGCTGGTGCCTGCTCCTCGTACCTACAAGGCATCCCTGCCACCCCACCCCACGTCCATAAGTAATCCGGTTCCCTTTTCTCCACCCATCCCACCTATCTCCTTCATTCAGTTCCTCAGCCCAAACGCCTAGCCCTTGGAGCCTTCTGGAACTGCCCCCTGGCGGAGCCAGAGTCAAACCCGGGCAAGGCGACCACGGCATAGAACGCACTGGGCTGTGCGACAATGGCCAGCGCCACGTCTTTTACCGTCTGCACGCCGTCAGCCGCAGCAGTGGTGCCGGCGCCTGCCCACACGCCCGTGAGAGTGAACGTGTGCAGCCCTGCTGTGCGCCCAGACCGCCCCCACACGCGCTGCAGGCGGCCCCACGCGCGCACCATGGGGCCACTGCCAGGGGAGGGGGAGGCGACAGTGGTCCAGGCAGGGGGGGATGCGCCGTCAGCGGCGGTGGCGGTGGAGAAATCGAGGAGAGGCAGGCCGTTGGTGGCGGCGGTGCCGCTGTTGAGAGTGAGAGCGATGAGTACGCCGGGACCAGAGAGGGAGATGCGCGCCATGAAAGCCACGTCGTAGTCCGTGCCATTCCTGACTCAAGCAAACGGGACGGCAGGCAGGAAGGAGATGCGGAGGAGATGGCATAGGAGGACGAAGGATGAAAGCGGCAAGACGTGTGTGCTGACTGGAGATGGCAAAGGGCGATTCTTTTCAGATTCCATGGAGCAAGAGCGGCAGCGCACTCACTGGAGGAGGGTGATTTCGAGGACGCCAGTGGCGTTGCCATTGCCAGTGGCTGCCATCGCATCATCCACCACACTGCTGCCCCTCAGCTGTGCCAACACGCCTCCCGTGCTCTTCCCGTGCTTTTCCCACCCATTCCCCCTCCCCTTCCCCTAGCAATGCCCGTTGCCCTGCCCCTGCCCCTTGCCGTTCCCCTGCCCCTTGCCGTTACCCACCCCCATCACCCGCGTCATTGTGGAGCTCGCACTGTAACTTGTCGCCCCACTTGCAGGGCTTGCAGTCTCTGTGCTGTTCCCCGCGCTGTTGCCCTTGCCCTTGCCGTTCCCCTTGCCCTTCCCCTTACCTTGCCCCTTACCGTTCCCCCCCTCCCCCCAAAGATTCCCCCCAAGTCGCCGGGAGTGCTGCCGTTGCCAAAGAGGCTGGAGAGCCCCGAGAAAACGCCGCCCTGACCCCACCCGCCCGTGAAATTTCCGCCAGTCAGCGCGCCCAGAATGCCGCCACCGTTCCCGCCTCCCTTTCCGCCTCCGCCCTTCCCGTTTCCTTTCCCGCCGCCGTTTCCGCCTCCTCGACCGCCCCCCTTCCCGCTTCCTTTTTCGCTTCCGCCTTTCCCCTTGCCGTTACCACCAGGAGCAGCAAGCGCACCTGCATGAGCAAACCATGCCGCGCGTCATTCCTCGGAAAGGTCACCAAAACTCACGGCAGCGAAAGTTATTGGGACGAGCAAAGTAAGACGGAGCGCGTGCGAGGGAACTCACAGGAGGTGGCCAGTAGAACCAGAATCAGAACCGCGAGGACCCTGGTCGCCGCCATGGTTGGAACTAACTTCAGAACGAGTCCTCGTGGTCGACTTTACGCTGACTGCGAGTTGGCGATGGGATTGACTGGTGAAGACTTGGAGCGGCAGAGTCGACTGGTGATGCCGATGAAAGGGCGCCATGGATCATTACTTAATACGCCGAGAGCCTCCCGGGGTGTGGCTGGACGAACTGCAGCCTGAGGCCCCCAACGCCTGCAAAGTCCTCAACTCGTTGCGAGGGATGCGAGCACGGTAAGGAATCGACGAGATCGCGTCGCGGTCGGAGGCGAGTACGCGACAAGCTATCGGTCATTTTCGGCGGCTTTCACGGGGTGAAACGAGGAGACTGCGCGCAGACTGCTGCTCATGCGCCATGAAGCGGCGAGCTGCTTGGCTCGCTGTAGGCTAGGTGGCTCGGCTCATCAGCGACCGCGCTTCGCGACGCAACTCTCGTTCGTCGTCGTCTTATGGCCAATCATGTCGGCAGCCATGATTCTGGAGGCGAAAACCGGAGCCAGAGAATGGGCGGTTGAGCACGATCGATCTGTGGATGTCGATCCCCAGGGGGATCGAGATACGCAGGCTTGTCCTGTCCGCGCGTTGCCATGCTACCGCACCACCACCACCTAGTCTCTCCGCTCTTATCTCCGAGGTCGGCTCGCCTCCCCCCATCTATCCGCCATGCCCTGCCTTTCTAACACCGACCGTGACGGCGGGTCGCTAGACTCGAGCACTCATTCCTAGCCAGTTGGGAGATTTGGCTACTAGTTTGGTTGGAATGCACTTCAAGTGAGCGCACAGAAAAATTTCAGAGTTCATGGAGTCTTTTACCTTCTGAGTGATTCATAGGATCTTAGGGCGTGTCCAGCACGTACGTTTGATTGCGGTCGGGTAAGGTGCCTCACGGATCAGAAGGATCGATAACAAATCTAAAACGGTTGGGTAGGATTTTGACCAAAAACGAACGCGCTGGACACGCCCTTAGCTTCTGCAGTCAAATCAGTGGGGAAGATTCTCTTTTGCTGTCAACAGGTGCTAGTGATGACATGGTTGGGACCGTTTTAGAGGCTCGGAGCCAAAACAGCCAGCCATATGAAACCAGTCATCCGAACCTGCCGCGAAACGAACCATTTTCGCGCTAGCTTAGGTTTGGGCCGTGATCGGTAAGCTGTTATTCCAGAATACGGAAGTCGGAATAAGGAATCCGCTGCGAGCTTTCTGTATTCCGTGCGTTGACTCGCCAGGTTGGGTAGTGCGAGAAGTTGGTCAGGTTTATGGGCGAAATTGCGTGATGTAACTGACGCGTCTGAGCTGGCAAATCTCCAAACTTGCCCGCTACGATCTGGGTCACGAAAAACAAGAGGGATTCTTGCATTTTTTTTGGTTTAGGGCACTGCATCTGGCTGGATATCAAAATGCGACCCTGAATTTGTTTTCTTGGCGGTCAGACACATGCTGGTAGTGGGTATTCGACGTTTTCCGTTTCCGAAATAAGGGCATCCGTTATTGCGTTTGGATTGCCCCACTCTTCACTATTCCCAGCTATTCTTGCAAAAGATTTGGAATTCACATCGACCGGCGGTTGGCACGATTTCGCCCGAGTCAGCACCTACGGTGTCCTTTCCTCATTCCGCATTCCAGCCTTCGTTATTCCCGTGATTGGTACACACCTCTATTCCAGGAGGTTTGGTGTGATTAAAAAGATTGGTTGGCTTTAAGCCTATTCCGAGCCAGCCCAGAGAAATTGCTCGACACCATCCGTATTCCGGAATAACGGCTTACCGATCACGGCCTATGTGTTTCGCCCTAAACCCTAAACTCGCGGAAGTATGTTTCGTGGGATGAGTTCGGTATAGCTGGATGAAGGGGGTTAGGCTGCGTCGGTAAGTTTCAAACGTATAGAAACGCGCCATGTCAGCATGACGGCAGCAGAAATAAATTTACCCACTAAGTTGACTGCAAAAATTAAAACCCCTTCTGATTGGACAAGCGACAGCCCTGCGACTCAGCCAGCTCGCCAAGCAGCAAAGCGTCTCCAGAACACACCAAGATCCAAAGCTTGTTGGGAAATGATTAAAAAGGGTCCTCGCTCCGCCAGAGGCCTGAGACCTTGTCTCCGAGCCTGTGCTACACACCCTTCGTCTTACAATACGTAAGTATTAAAAGTCGTATTCTCTTAACGCAAACTCCGTGATTGTTGGAAATTGCACTAGTCGAACACGCACATGTGGCCAGGGCAAAATTGCACTTATTGTGCTCCGATGTTGCTGGAGGCTGGCGTAAGCATACTTTTCAGGGGCGTAGACCCTGTTGATTGCTACGACTGGCCCTCATTCACCGAATCGCACACGTGTCGCAATGCTTTGTTAAAGTAGCTAGGTAGATAGGGACGACATGGAAATGGTGTGAGGTTTTAGGTGGGAGGAAAATATCGAGAGAGAAGAGAGTTGGACTAGAAGAGAGAGGGATACAAGATAGGGGGTTGTACCCTCTACAGTAGGATCCAGTAACACCTACCAAGCCTATAATTATATATATATATATAATTTAACACACCCCGTAGGCTTGGTAGCCGAAAGCACACCACACACACAACACACTAAGCCACACACCCCCTAATCCTAGCACCCCCATACTCAACAGCAGCGACGGCTACTCCAGCATGGTCAACCCCTTGGCGTGTGAGGCGGCGACGTCAACAGCGAGGGCAGCGGCTGAAACGGTGGCGACGGCGGCAGCGTCGACAGCGAGGGCAGCGGCTGAAACGGTGGCGACGGCGGCAGCGTCGACAGCGGCGGCGGCGTGCGGCGGCATGGCCAGCGGCACCAGCTGCGGCAGCAGCGGCTTCGACAACAGCTGCGGCGGCAGCGGAGCTCGCAACACTCGGCGGCGTGGCCGCGAGGTGGGACAGCCGGCGCGAGTCAGGCGTCGGCTGCGGCGAGGAAGAGGGGACGCAGGGGAAGGGGGCGGGGCTTCAGCAGCAGAGCCCGGGAGCATGCCGCCCCGTGTGGCGCGATGGCTGCATGCGGGCGTGCTGGCCAGCGCTAAGACCGGGGGCTGGCCGCTGCCGTCCGTGCCGTCAACGCGCTGGGGCGTAGACGCCGTCACGGCAGCACGACATGGCCGTGGCGGCGACGCGGAAAGGACAAAAGGGAGGAGCGGATTTTGTGGAAGCGTGATGAGCAGGCCCGAGCATACGGACCTGCCCTGAAACCATGTTAAAGTAGCGAGGTAGATAGGGAAGCCATGGAAATGGCGTGACGTTTTAGGTGGGAAAAAAATATCGAGAGAGAAGAGAGTTGGACTAGAAGAGAGAGGGATACAAGAAGGGGAGTTGTACCTTTTACAATAGGATCCAGTAACACCTACCAAGCCTACAGTTATATACATATATATATTAATTTAACATGCTTGTCATGGCGTGGGTTAACCACACCCAATTCGATGCATTGTCTCCCATTCAGGAGCGGGCAGACTCGATCTTTCAAATTTCAATTGGAGGCGATGCAATTCTCACATGCTAACTGCAGCTCTTTCATTGGCTAATTGCGTTTATGTGTGTAGCCCCTACCGAATACTTGCACCTGTAAAATAGTTGCGCATGTGGTTGTTGTCCTAGTCGAATACGATATGTATAAGTTCGCAACACAGGGAATGTTTGCGGGTGCACGTCGTATCGTTGCCATGTGATGTGGGACATTTATAAGAACAGTGTTTTAGGGCACTTTGAAAAAACTAAAACCCAGACTCTTGCATGCGACCAAGATGGCATCAACCCTAAAATCGCAAAAGGGCCGCGTCTTTAGAGTCGATGCCATCCGGAAAGGAATTCGGTCCCCTATGGGTTTTAGTTTTTTTCCCTGCTGTTGAGAGCGATTACTGGTAAGTACAAAAGGGAAACATTAGTGTATTACAGGCTCGGAGGTCGACGGACCTTTTTCTCAGAGTTAGAATTGTTGAAAAGAATGGGAGTATACAGGGGTATATAGCTAGTGGATTGTACTCTCTATGGCATAACCCTATATAGTCTACGAAACATACACACATATGTTTGACACACCCCCTAGACTAGATAGGGGCAGTGCCTGGTGAGAGACAAGCAGCTCAGGGCGGCACTACTAGTCCAACCTCTAAGGAAGGGGTCTAAAGACTAGTCAAAAGAGTACAAAAAGGCAAGAGCAAGACCAGGGCAGCCCAACTAGTCCAGCCACTAGGAGAAAGCCACAAGGCCAGTCACGATAATATATAAAGAGTTATACACAATCAAGGTCCTAGCAAATGAGGTGCTACAGGAACGAGACCGAGCTGTACGAAGCGCCGCTGATGATCTTTAGGCGCAAGCGCCTTCGTAAAGGTATCAGCTGTGTTGGCACCGGAGGTCAAGTGTACTACGTGGGCCTTGCGACGCTGCTGTAGCTCGCGCAGGAGGAAGTACCGCAGCTGGATGTGCTTCACTTTGCCCTCGAGTATGGGCTCCTGACACTGGAGGATCATGGCCCTGTTGTCAGCATACAGGACCGGGACAGTAGGCCGCTCACCCAAGTCGGTGAGCAAGAAGGTCAGCCAGCGGAGCTCCTGTGCCGCCATGGCACCTGCGTAGAGCTCAGCCTCATAGCTAGACTGGGCAACAGACGAGAAACAGGTGGACCTCCACGAGATTGCACCTGCACCAAGGCTAAAGGAGTAGCCCTGTGAGGACCTGAGAGTCTCGGCGTCATCTGCCCAAGAAGCGTCTGTGTGCCCGGTAAGGACCACTGGTCTGCGTCCTCCTAGCACTAGCCCCATGCCCGATGTACTTGTTAGGTAACGCAAAACCCTTAGCTGCCGACCAGTGCTGTGGTCGGTGTCTGCCTCTAGCCACAAAGCGAGCCAGGATGCTGAGAGGGTATGCGAGATCTGGATGAGTGCAAGTCATCAGGTACATGAGGCAACCCACCAGCTCTGCGTAGGGACTACTAAGCTCTACAGCCTCCTCAGGGACTGGGGCAGAGAGTCTGTGGTCTACTGACAGAGGGCTGGGCTGTGCGGAAGAGAACTAAAGGCCGAACCTCTGAAGGATCTTGCGCACCAAGTGTAACTGCGTGAGAGTGATGGTGCGCACTTCTCTGTCCCTAGAGATTTGCAAGCCAAGGTAGCGGCGCAACTCTCCTAGGTCAGTGCAGGTGTGTCTCCTCATCAGCTCGGCCTTCACGGAGGCCAGAGCGTCTCTGTCTGCAGTAAGAAAGACCAGATTGTCTACGTAAACAAGGATGTAGAACGGAGTCTGGCCGGAACGGACGAAGAGCGAGGGGTGTGCAAACGACGGGAAGAACTGCAGGTCAGGAAGTGTAGCATGCACCGTGTTGTGCCACTTACGGGGCGCCTGGCGCAGGCCGTAGACGGGGGGGGGAAGGTACCGAAGAAGCCCTAGGGGCGGCGCGGGTAGACCTGCTCGTATAGACTGCCCTGGAGGAAAGCTGTGGAGAAGTTGAGTGACTGCAGCTCGTAGTCACGCAGTGCTGCTACGTGTAGTAGTGCCCGAAGAGTAGTCATCTTCGGGGTCGGGGCGAAGGTCTGAAAGAAGTCAACCCCTTCACGCTGACTGAAGCCACGAGCAACGTAGCGGGCCTTGAAGTCAGGCGGCTCTCCAGGAGGGCGCTTCACCTTGAAGAGCCATCGGCCATCGACTACGTTCACCCTAGGTCGGGGAACTGCATCGACGAAGGTGCTGGTGGATCTCCAATATGCCATCTCTTGCTCCATGGCAGTTATCCACTGAGAGGCCCAGGGTCCCGAGGGGGCCTCAGTGTAGG